GGTTCCAGCGGTATCGGCATTCTGTATGAGGTATGGAATCCCTTCACTCCAATTACTCCTCCGCAAGATAGCTGGCCTTGTGACCTGAACATGTCAGGTCTTTGCAGATGACTGCAGCATCCCCACTGATGCCACGACACTCTGCCCCATCTGCGACAAGGCGGACACAACGGTGGCAGGAGAGTTAGGTGGTAAAAGTCCTCCCCTCTTGGCACTCACTGTTCACGATGAGTTGGCACCGCGATCCAGTGACTTTCTTCCGAGTCAATGTCGTGTGGCTGGTTTTTCAGAAGTGAGGTTGGATAAAGTGCCAACAGCCTTCCGAATTAAAACGACCCAGTTGGAGTTCTGTGAAAAATTCCCCTAAAGTGGATGATGATCTACGGATCTCGATCAAGATTGCTAGGATACCCTCTTTCAATACGCAAGCATCCGTAACAGCCGCCCATGTTGGGTGAAAGGATGAGGTTGGAGAGGGCGGGCTCGAAAAGTCAAGTCTTCGGAGAAGTCGGCATACCCTGGCTCAACTCTTTGGTAAAGACGTGGTACCCCTGAGTATCAGCCTCACCACCTCATGTGCCACATATGCCTGTGATTGCATGGAATCCTAAACCCAGCTGAAAGGCTCCAAATATGCAAGAACACTGATAATTCTAACGGCTGGCCCAGACCGCCAGTTGAGAAACAGCACGTTTTCAAATGTTTCTAGAATAGATATATGGGTCACAGAATCTTTCAAATTTTGGCAATCGAACATTTGTACCTGCATCGGTAGTTTGATCTATAGGAATAATGAACCGAACAGCCTTTTCGAGGAGAGTCCGGCGAGGGTTCAAGGAAGGGGGTACGGTTAGTTCCCTTCGATCTTGCTCGAGTCTATGTACTCAGGGGCGAGGTGACAACGTCAGCTCTTCCATTGGCTGTTCACCTTCAGGCCAGTGCAGGTTCCAAGAGAGATCCGGCGAAACGGATAATGTTGGGGTTAGGGTAGAGGGCTTGCGTTCGTTCCAAGGAGGAAAATCACTGTGAATGTCGAAACAATGGCTCGGACTGGGTGGCTCATGCTTACTGGTAGCTGCTAAGCTTTTAATCTTGCGATGATTCTCAGACTATCTCATCTCATTCTGGTAGATTCATTTGAGCGCCTGGACAAGAATTCTGTCCAGCCAGTGGGATGGTAGATACATGAAGAATCGGAGGTTCAATGCGCTTGTTGGGAAGGTTAGTTCTGGATGTCGTGTTTACAACTTGGCCAAGCCTGGATTTTACTAGAGTCTAGTCATTCAAAATGCCGTCCTTACTCGCGATGGAAAGCCTACCAGCAAAACGCACAAAGCTAAAAGGTGAAACAACAGTGTCTTCTGCGACAATTATTCGGATCCCAAAATGACCGAACAGAAGGCTGTTTGTTGAGAAAAGGATGCCTTGAAAGTAAACTGAAATGGAAAATCAAGCATATCTGCAATATTATAGAAGCCGCCATGTTCTCCAGGGAGTATAGTGAATTTATTGGGAAAGCATCTTGGTTCCGATGAAATACCAAATGCTGTCCAGAGGAGCAACTTCACCCGCCGTCGCAAGTGCATCTCAAGCAAGCTAAAGATTTGAGATGAATTTTAAAATAGAGTCGAGGCCCCCCCGCACCAGCCTCGAACAAAGAGAAAAGCGTTGAGGGATGCCGTGAAACCTGAACATACGCGGCATGCTGGAATAGTCCAGTCCAGGCTATTCCGGATCGTGCCGCCCTGTTGCCGCTGAATGCTTGTTTTTGTTTTCCTTTTCTTACAGGATTTGGCGTTTTGCTCCAGCCCTATGCTGTGAATCCTCAATAGCCAATCGATTAACTTTGAACGAGCATTGAGATAGGGGTCGTAGCCCTCATTACTGAGACCAGCGCTTCCTTGACAATCTAAAATGGGCTACAGATCCTACTCCCGACCACTGTGATTGGAACTAAGCATGATCGTGAGTGCTCAGGGCATCTGCTTCCCGCCCATTCTCAAGGGTAGCGACACCAGGGAGGGACTTCACATGGGGAACACGCATTGCCCATGGTTTTTAGAACGCAGGACGAACCATTTTGGCTTTTGGATTTCTGCTTCATGCAGGCTGCCACATGCGACGCAGAAAAAGTTTCCAAGAACCAAGATTCGGCCGTGAGTCTTTATTTTTGCGTACTTTCCCCCTCTCGTACGAGACGCCCACCACCGCGAGTCTCGGCCGTGTAAGTGTCCTCGCACGAAATGAAGGTTGAGGACTGCGTTTGCTCTAAGACACCACCAAGTGAAGACTTCTGCATGTTCAAAAGAAGCCCATCATGCCAGCCAATGGCTCACATGTTGGAGTTTTGCCGGATGTCTCACCCATGACCGAATCGCAGTCCATTCTGGTGACAGCTCAACTTCTATTAGTCGCCGACATGCTTACCGAATTCGTTCGTCTGCTTTTCGGTTCATAGTCGGCGCTAGATACGTTGATCGTCTTAATCCGAGAATTAAGAACGATGAACCGAACGCTAGATAGGCGCTACTATGATCCACCGATGCGGTGTGCCGTGCTGGCCCCGATCAATCCGGGGCAGAGTGGAGACAACGTGGTGTAGCACCCCGAAGATGATCACGTTTTCTTCGGACCCCCACGCGTTATCCCGCCATTCGCCTTGGGCCAGTGGGCGGCCGACCCTGGCAATTTTCCTCCAACAACAATTTTCTCCGCAGAACGATCCCTTTGGACGTGTGAATAGGGAACGACACCACCATGGACAAAAAACCGAATAGATTACTGGTCCAATGGGGAAAGACTTCACGTTGCGTCCGTTACGCTTTTGGTACGTTTCCGTTTCAACTGAGCAGTCATGGTTGTGTTCCGTGAAGCATGGTTGAGAAAGGCGAAGATGTCGTCTCATTCGGGGAAATTGAAAATCCCCGGCCATTCCACTTAGAAGGGCATCTTGAGAGCCTATGGATGCATAGCATTGGAGGAACACATTGCCACGATGCCAAGAAGTCGATATGTCGGCTTCGACGTTCTCCCCTGATGTATGTCTTGGCTTCATATTAATTCCAGAGTTGAGGAGAAATAAGGAGAGCTGTGGAGTTAAGAAGTCATATCATCACGCCGCTGAATTTACCAGCGATCGGCATATAAGCGATCATCGTCCGCATGTCGTAAAACTTAAGCTTAATTTCCATCGCTCCACTGAAGTCGTGAAAGTTGCTCATCTTGTACATACCTTTTATCTCTTGATCCTTGTTGCGATGAAGTTGAATGGCTTTGCGTCTTGGGCCTTTCTGGCTATCGCTGCATCGGCTTCGCCCACTCCTACGAACCCTGAAGGTCGTCTCCTGAACAAGAGGGCTGCTATCACGGATGCAGCAAACATTGGTTATGCCACTCAGAATGGCGGGTAAGGATAGACGATATCAAAGTTGTCCAGAACATTTGAACTGATCCGTGAAATTTAGAACCAAGGGTGGCGCCGGAGGAACCACTACTACAGTGACGAACCTTGCTCAACTATCCGCCGCAGCTATTGCATCCGGTCCAGGGATTGTCATTGTTTCAGGCAACATTGTCGGCGCGGCAAAAGTCCAAGTCGGCTCTGATAAAACTATCGTGGGAAAGACGGGCAGCTGTAAGTGACGCTACTCACTCGAACCCCCTCAAAGCTCATATTTTTCGATTATAGCTCTAGAGGGTATCGGCCTCACTATTCTTGGACAAAAGAACGTTATCGTCCGCAACATGAAGATCAGCAAGGTCGAAGCAGACCACGGTGACGCCATTACCATCCAGCTATCCAAGAACGTATGGGTAGACCACTGCGATCTTTCTGCCACCCGCGACGGCGACAAGGACTTCTACGATGGGTTGACTGATCTCTCTCACGCCGCTGACTGGGTCACCATCTCCCACACGTACTTTCATGACCACTCCAAGGGCTCTCTTGTTGGCCACTCTGACAGTAATGCCGCCGAGGATACGGGAACCCTCCACGTCACTTATGCGAATAATCACTTCTACAACGTCCGCAGTCGTGGGCCCCTTTTGCGTTTCGGAACTGCCCATATTTACAACCAGTTCTACAACACCATGGATACGGGCATCAACACTCGCATGAGTGCACAAGCTCTCATTCAGAGCTCCGTCTTTGAGAATGTCGGAAAGAAGGCCATATTTAGCGAGTCTAGCAAGGAGATTGGGTAAGTGCCTTCAACCACTTTGGACTACCTTAAGCTGGCAGTGTTCCGTGACTAATGATCCTACTCCACAGGTATGCTGTTGCCATTGATGTTGTGCTTGGTGGTGAAAGCCAAAACACTGCATCAGTTGGCACATTGAATGCTAACAGCCCTCCTTACTCGTACTCTCTTCTTGGATCTGCCAATGTGAAGGCTGCTGTGACCAAGGAGGCCGGACAGACTCTTGGATTTTGAGTGGCTCACGTCGAGTTGTACTGCCAATGTGATAAGCGAAATCCGTCGGGTGTGTCTATGAGAAGTTACAAGGAGGAATGACTTCATTTAGAAGACCCAAATGACGTTATGTCTTCGGAGTATTGTACATGAAATCTATATCACTTTCTATCTCTCATTCATGATCATGGGGATGAACTCAAACTGGCCTTGAGTTAACAAGCGGTGAAGCAATAAGTTGATCATCTGAGCATTAGCTTGGCACAGATGGTCTTTGTACCGAGAAGAATGCTTGTCTCAAAGCTTGGCAACTTAATCTATCCCGGGTGTCATCGGGTTTCACCTAAGCGTCTGGACAAGGTTATCCAAAGATACGCTCATATTGATCACAGACCACTACATACTACCACTTAGTACACGTTGACTGGCCACCCCAGCCTTAGTCCTTGACGTTAAGCTTGAAATGCGAGTCATCCCCGCAAGAAAGATCCAACATAGGCGACGAAATGCCCGTTGCGACGGATGGATGCATGCTCAGAGTCTTTGACAGCAGCCTTCTTGACTCAATCGTTGGAGACGACGGGTTTAAGCGCGACAAAGGGCGCTTATAAGGAGCAGGATGCTCAACGTGAGGTCACTCGCATGCACTCTCTTGCCTTCAGCGGCACCGCTACCTGTTGGCGTCGCCACAGCTGCGCTCGTATGTGTTGATGAAGCTGTAGTAATTGGTGTGGATGCCGCGCTTGAGTCAGACATTGAGATCGAAGCTTCTTGAGACGACGAAGATGTTGTGATATCTGTCGTTACCGTCGCGGTTGGCGATGTAGTCGGGCTTTCAACGACAGACGTAACCTCGCTGATGCGCGAGTAAATATCGGTCGTCCAAGACCTAGTCTTCCACGAGAGGACAGGAGTATTGGGAAAACTCGTAGGCCATGCCACGCCCGGCGGTGTCACCGTGGCGCAGACAACCTCCCAGGATGAGGGCTCCCTTGTGCCGTCGGTGAGACACATGAAGTGGTTGCTGAACCCGTAGGGGTTATCCGGATTGTCGGCATTCATCTCCGGACTGACTTGACAAAAAGTAGCGCATGAGACTGGGTACACTTGGTCGTTGGGCGACGTCGGGCTCGTGATGTTGTAGACCGTGCCGGAGCAGCATTCCGCAAAGTGCGGGGCGCTGTTGCGGCCGACGGGCGGGGTCTTGCATATTATGCCAGCGATGGACTCCGGCCATTCGGAAAACGCGTTAGATGATAGTGTGTTGAAGGTCACATCGCCAGCACACCTCGGATATATGCTCATGGTGGCTACTTGTGCGTTTTGAGCAAATTTGCAATGAAAATGTTTGCTTAGGGAACACGGGCAAAGAAGTCAGAGATCTCTAAGCTCAATAAACAAACAATGGAAGGCGTGAAAAGTGTGCACAAGATTGCTGACGCATCAAGGTGTGATGGCTAGGCTGCCGCTAGCTTGAATCTGCTATGCCGACTAGGGTGGCGATCGTCAGGTCCTATCATCCCGAGGGACTTTTGTGAAAGCGTACTTAATTGCAGGCTTCTGATAATGTCGTTTGGTTGAGTTCGGCAGTTTTGAAGGGGAAACTTGAATACCATCTAACACCAAGATTACATACAGTGCGCTTAAAAATATTCAACCACGAGTGGCAGTCCCAATACTCTCGAATACCTGAAAGACAGTATCTCGAGTTCTGGACGCGATTTCCTCAATCTCTTCGCTTGTACTAGTGTATGCAGGCGCAAGAAGGACGTGATCGCCCAGAACACCATCTTTCGTTCCCATCCCTGGATACAAGCTGATGCTGAAGTCGTTGAATCCAACAAGATGAGTTTTGTTCGCAATATCCTCAAATCTTGGGAAGGGTTCTTTGGTAATTCTGTCCATGACAAACTCGATCTACAGGAGAAAGGCTTGTGAGTTTGCGCCCCGAGAAAGCAAAGAGCGAATAGCCTCTCATAGACTTACCCCCCAAAAGAGGCCTTTGCCTCGGATGTTGCCAACATGAGGGTGGTCATCTAGGTAGTACCGCAACTGCTTCTCAAGCAGAGCGCCCTGTTTTCGAACGTTTGCGACGAGATCCTCTTCCCGGATGATTCGCTGGACTTCGAGAGCAGCAGCGCATCCAACAGGATGGCCCTGATAAGTATGTCCGTGTGAAAATGAGCTGAATGGTGATTAGTCAACCTTGAATGATGATTATGCAGGAGAAGTCTGTAGAGATCTTACCCGCTTCCGTTCTTGAGAGCATCAGCCACACGGTGATTGATGAGCATACCAGCCATGGGCGCGTAACCGCCGCCGAGACCTTTAGCAAGTGTCTGGATATCAGGGATAACTCCCTCTTGTTGCCACGCATGCAGAGAGCCGCAGCGACCCATGCCGGACATGACCTCTTCGCGAATGTCAGTGTTTATTTGGTACAAAATGTTTTAGACGTGCGCCTTAGGCTCGGTGTTCTTACCATCCAAGATAAGTAGGGCGCCATACTTGTCGCAGACCTTTCTAATAGCCCTGAAATATCCAGGCAGAGCTGGAATACAACCCAGAGTCTGCGGGAATGAATATTAAAACGAGGTTATAATAGTTGAGACATTAGAGGACTACCTACTGCACCAACAACAGGCTCTGCGACAAATGCGCATACCGAATCGGGGCCAAGCTCTTGGAATTTCTGGTCCAGCTCATCGGCCAATTGACTGACGTATTCCTGCTCGGTCTGACCCTCGCTCATACCGCGGTACGGGTTGCAAGCTGACACTCTGTATATGTTCGGAAGCAGCATATCGAGGAAGAGACTCCGCCGCGCGACATGCCCGCTCATTGACAGCGAACCAAGAGTTGTACCATGGTATGATCCTTCTCTGGCAATGAAATTGATCCGCTTTGGCTGCTGAGGAGACAATTCCATAAAATACTGTCGTGCCATCTTCATTGCGGATTCCATAGCCTCAGAGCCTAGGAGCGTTAGTCTCAAGTGTTTGTTATCATTTCCTCTCGAAGGGGCTGAGATTATACCTGAGCACATGATGTACGCTTTCGACATGGCACCGCCTGTGCCGCCAATGAGTTCATCAGCAAGCTTCTCCCCAATCTCGTGGCCAAAGAACATGGAGTTGCAATAGGCAAACTTGTCAATTTGCTCAACCATGGCTTTCTTGACTCGTTCATTGTTCGATCCTATGCATGCTACTGCTGCGCCACATGTTGAATCCAAGATGGTTCGGCCATCAGAAAATGTTAGATGTTTGCCCTTTGCTGATACCACATGTGGCGGCGCGCTTTTCAGTGAGCGGTGGAGGACTGCACTGGCAGATGGAATCCCGTTCACGACGGGGTTGAGTGTTGATACGATTTCTGGACCAAGCTTGGCGGCTGTCTTTGCCATCTTTTGCGACGCAGTAGCCATCTCAAAAGTATTTATCACAGCCGGTCAAGTGGACAGAACAAGATAGACGTAATACTCGAGGGTTCGCGAGGTTGAGAGCAGAGACACTGGAGGTAATAAGCTTTGTGGCCACATGCGGGAGGTGGGCTAGAAATATACCTAGTCCTAAGCATGTCACCTTGTATCGTTATCGTTGCTCTGATCTGAAAGCTGGTCAATATTGGAGGCTGACTATCTGATACGGTATCATATGGGCTCAAGGCGTATCTGCATGGCGTATCTGGCGTGTGTGGAGGCTTTGCATCGGCCTAAGGCGGGGTAAGGACCGGTTCCGATCTTGTTGGTCTCTGTAGATCTAGTCGTGAGCTTAAAGATTATTGGTTCAGCATCGCTTGCTGAGCATGGGTTATACGTGGTCGCCGACCTGACGCTCAATGTAGCTAGCCTTTGTTTGTGCATTTCCATCATTTTAGTAGACTCTTGTGAATTGTACCGATAACCGGCCCTAAGTCAAGAGAAGATGTTCCCCAGTCTCGTCCAAGATGTCAGTCCAGTCTGCTTCATCTGTCAAACCTGAGTTTTGCCGCCTTTGCCATAAATCTTCTAGTATCATCAAAGAACGAGAAATATTCTGGAATCGTCGTTTCTGCAACGTCATCTGCAACCGAACACGAACAGCATCCATGTGTTCGTCCTCAGTCGCCTCGCCGCCAGCAAGGAAGAGAGGGAAGAGTATTGCCGACTCGGTATGTGACCCGACCGGAATATCTGAGACGTGCCTCAGGATGTTAGACACCTGCGTCCGCATCTTTGTCGGTAGCATCTCCTCTGTCATGGCTTCAGAGCTTGCCCCTTGAGTGGACTCTTCCTCTGAACTCAGGCGACTCCGTATCAGTCGGAATAGCACAATAAGGACAGCGCTCCTGAATGCATGCGCCAGAGCAGCAAGTTCTGGAGCGGCATCTGGCCTGCATCGCCAGTCTTGCAGCTCTTGCTCGACTCCTTCGCAGGTGGCATGGAACAACTTCTTTCTTCTGGTTATCTCCTCAGCCCCTAGAGCAACATCGAGTCTGGTCTCTTCATCGATGCTACTCAAAGTAGCTACATGGCGTAAAAGATCTGTGGCGACGCCTAGGTAGGTGTCGACAACGTCTGTGATGCCATCCAGATAACTGCAGTCTAGCAGCGGCCTCCTCCGCATGGTCACACTCCCAATCATGTCGTGATACGCAAAGTTTCGAAGAATCCACTGACCCTCGGAGCTCCGTTTGAAGACTTCAGGTCCTCGCAAGGTCGTCCCTGAGCTTGGATTGACCACGGCGGACTCGATGATGAGCTTGGCACCGTTGAGGTGGGCACACCACCCGTCGTTATCTCCTACGCATACCTCACCTATGACAAAGGCCAAGCATGTTGCTGCTTTGATTTCGTACCATGTGATTTCATGTTGTGGTTTAGCGAGGGCTGTGGCGAGGTTGGTGATTGCTGTCGAGTGAGCTTCTAAGGCAGAGACCCGATATGACTCATTCGTGAGTGATAAGTGACCAGAAGCAAAAGCGACCAGTGCATCGTAAAGCACACTCGATTCCATAGCCATTGGTAGGAACTCTGAAAGATTCTAAGTGTCAGTTGCAGCCCATCGAGACATATGGAAGTGCATCCAATTCATTCAGAGAGTGACGAACCAGATAGGAACGAGTTGAATTGCTCGCTTGCAGTCAAAAAATGGCTCAGCACTGTAATGTAGTATCGCATTACTTGTCGCTTCTGAGGCGGTTCGCCCTGGTCGACGCCCGGAGGTGAAGCAAGCAACGGAAAACATGACGATAATGGTTGATGCGAGTTATCTCTCGTCGACGGTCGTAGCGCCTGAGTTGCCTGCAGTGTGCTCTTCTTCTGTTCGACCCAGGTAGTCGGGACTACATCGCGAGCCGTCGATCGCACGCATTTCAGATTCAACCTGGAGCATGTTCCACAGATTGGAAACGTGTTCTCGACGCACTTCTTCCTCCTAATGTTCCAAGAATACTTATCAGAATGAGAGGTCCCGCGATAGGGTTATCGGTGAGGCGGGCTTACCGATATCGGCAGGTCAGACATCCCGTTTTGTCGTGTTTGGAGCCCTTTCGTCGCCGCGTTTCTGATTGAAATTGTAAAGACATGACGGCCTCGGGTTGACCTTCCATTATGACAGGCAAGCAACGTTGCTATGATCCAACTCCGGCGTGTTGGGCGTAACAGACAACAAACACGTGGGGGGAATCTTGATGTCAAGGAGGAAAAAGAGGGACTCTTTCAGCGGCCCAAGCACGGTGAGTGGATTACGGGGAGAAGCAACGGAAGTTTCCATCCAGTTATTACTGGGATACTTGCCTGATCAGTCCTAGCACCAAATTTGTCGGTATTAATGTCTTTCCCCGCCATGGACGAGCGCCATCGGCCCCTCACAACGGAGTTAAACATCTTGAGTCTTTGTAGGAATTCTTATCCGCTGATTCAACTTGACAGACTTATCTCTTTTCTGATTGTATCTTATCAAAACTCCAGGGTGCTTCCCCCCCTTCGCTATCTTTAGCTATCAGCCAACTGCCGAGGTGCATGACTCGAGCCACGGGCTGACAGGTCGGAATACGTCGCTGGAAAGAATTGCGGAATGCTTTCCGTAATTAGCCAAAGAGTCAGCTCTACTCAAAGAGAACCTGAAAACTCAAACGCAAACAATCGCGCATCAGCCAGAGCGGCAACTCGGTGCGGCACTACAAGTCGCTTGTACTCTTCGCTCGCAATTGTGTCTCTGAAAACTCCAATATTCTCGTATTGCACAAGAGCCACTTCATCCCAATCATCGTCCTCCAGCCCTAGCACCTTCCCAACCATTTTGCCGGAGAATGGGACACGAGTGCCATTCATTGTAGGAAGGGCGAAAAAAGCAGGCACGTAACGTTGTTGCCACGCATCTTGACCGCTACAAGCGGGGAGAGAGTGGAAATCGGCTGCAGCGGTAGGGTCGTAAATAGCGACGGGGCGAAACTTCAAAATATTGAGCATGTAGACCGGTTTGTTAGGATCGATAGGACCGATGGCATCTTTGACTGCTGCTATGTCCGTAAGCTCAATGGCAGGCATTGGAAGATACAGATGTGAGTAATTCTAAGTGACGCGAGCCGACTAGTTGTTTTATGTCATGTGGTTTGCTGAGACACAGCTGAAAGTGAGACCAAGGCTTCCCTTAGCCTTTTGTACATGCTGGTGGAACGAGTTGACATATTGACCGGCCCGTCCCATTCTAGACTTTTGCGGATGACAAACCTTAGTTGCGGATAGCCTAGCCAATTCTTCAGCCACTGGCCAACCTAAGCCTGGGCTAAGTGTCTACCTCACTTAGCACATCACTGAACGGCGCTATTTGATAATGACATTTGAACGGTGGAATATTTGGGCAATTGCACTCTGTATCAGATTGGCTATTTTGGGTTTGTCATCGATTCCATACGGCTACAGGGCTTTTGCTCCACGAGAGGTCGGAGCCGGGTAAGTTACGTGAAATGGCACGTCGCAGCAGGGTCCAAATAGGTAAGCCTAGAGCATCGGGAAAGTATGTAATTCATCCGCTCTGGATTACCAATTCCCTTGACGTGTATTCAAGTCTCTCATCCGTCGGGTCCGGCATCAGAGAAGCTATCATACGAACCTGAGAGAGGTCGCACGACATCCCCAAACACCTGACAACTTTAAAATGAACTCAATTACCTACTGTATAAGAGAGTGTAGGAACTTAGGCTCTCTAAGGACTTATCCGACTACTCATCATGTTTGCTTCTTATGACTAGTCATTTTACGGAGTTAACGTATTGGGACGAATGTTGTAATTCTCCCAGTCAATACCAGTCGTACGGTGTGGGCCGTCACGCAGGACCCACACTTTCTTCCCATCACGAAGAATGGTTTAGTCAATACTATACAACCAAGTGACGGCTCACATCGTACGCCTGTTGCTGACCGTGAGATTTCTGACATTCTTCCTAATACGTTTACTCCGTAAAATGAGTTACTATGACAATCAGACATGTCATAGACCACACACTCTGTGAGCTTGGTTGAGTCGGTCTCGCTCCGCTGTCTCTCACAAATCCGACAATGAACTCCGACCTTCCTAACCACTACTGAGATGTATAAATACAGAGGATTCCTTTGAGTCCATAGACTGTTTGTTTCCTCCAGCACACCGCACAATTGAATCAGTTTTCTAAGAAGCTTCCTCATACCAACTTGAACCGTCTTCATTAGCGACCAATTACCTATCAGTGAGCAACACTACACCTATACGCGAGCAAACTGCTGATGAGATTGTCAGATATGAAGACCTATACTATCCTCGCCATTGCCGCCCAGGCTGCGGTTGTCCTCGCCAACTGCAAAGTCCAGCTTCTCGATGGCAACAGCTTTCAGCTTGGCACTGCCTGCATACCCAAGGGCGGACAGGGCCACATCACCGTCAACGGTCGTAACTGGTTCATCGATGCGACGACCAGCTGCGGGCTGAGCTTCATCAGCACCCAGAACCCCCCTTCCGGATGGCAGCTCAAGTCCCTCGGCAGCTGCTGAGATCTTGAGGCGTGGGGCAGCTAGAACGTCCACCTTCAACTGGACAGGCCCATGCCACCCGAGTAACTTCTGGGATATTAGTCACTTAGCTATCACATAGAGAAGAAGGCTTTCCAGTAGGGGAAAAAGGATTTGGCAGCAGTCGATTGTTGTAATATCGATCTCAACGCTCAGTTGAAAGCCTATCGAATGTATTTCATTACATTTTTAAGGCTCAGGGGGCGCATAGGAATTGAATAACAACATATTTACTGTTTTAACACGTTGCGTGAATGCTGAATCTGAAAATTCGTCATCTTTTCGCAACCGGCTCCCGGAGATGAATGTGATGCTAGTATGGTAGGATGACCGAACATGGGGGTGATTTGCCCCTATCGGTTTTGTATGAGAGGCAAGATTGGTGTATGATTTCTTGCTTGCCTCCGACGAGTTCCGTCAGCTGGTCCGCGCCGATGTCGATTTGAACTGATCGCACGATGTACTAACCCTACTAACACCAATGCTATCTTTTATCAGTTTTCAAATTAGTTTGTGTCTGGTAAACTTTGCCCTCAAAGAGGTATGAAGCCCCATGTGCTCGAGCATGGAATGTGAACAAGCGTCCAGAAATCTTACGAGCGATGCTTTGGATTATTGTGAAATTTGAATTGAGACTTCTAATTCTTACTTCTTATCTCTTCCTCCTTCGCTTAATCTTATACCGCCTGAATCAGAGAGGGGTCTGCCCAGCTATACGAGGCGAATGGTGCTAAATAGTCATCTTTCCTACCCATCGTATATTCATCCGTAGCACTATTTGTCTGCTTTCACCAATGGCTAAGTTATAATACCGAAGAATGATAGTCTTGATGAGTAGATGAGTTGTGTGGATGTGGGCCTTTTCACTTATTCCCTATTCGCTGATTCAAGACCCTTGCAGATCAACAATCAGAGCTTTCGATGTGACCAGCATATTTTCAGTAGCAATAGCACGCACAGGAGAAATCCATAGCTAGTGCGTCAATCTGGCTGAGGAGCAATACGCTCTCAAAGTCTGACGATAAGCAACTCCGAGGAATTTAATTACTAATCGTATCAAATTCTAATCGTTATCAAACATAAGACCCCTATCCCATTCGATTCAAGCTACTACCTACTTGCTGCACATATCTCGATAGAAATGCGGAGCAGAGGGGTTTAGGTAGAGAAAGCGTATAGTATCATTTCCATTTGCCCTTTGATTCTAAATATCGGATAGTATCAGTCGTCGAGCACGCAGTTGAGAAATCAGAGAACATATGGTTTAATAATCAGTGAAACAAAATATGGTAGAAGAAGTCAGACTCAACGCCCTCAGAACTGGGCAACGCTACATGTGGAGGCCTTTGGTGTTCTGGCCGAGATGACGTAGAAGACCTGTCACGAAATCAAGTCGGGCGTCTGACAAATAGCGTCCGGCGGCGTTTCTGACCAGAAATCTATCCTCATCCGCCTGCTTCGCTCACATATGAGCTGTCATAGTCCATTGTGTATCCTCGGTATTAGGTGTTGAGTAATCATCAACAAGGAGACACGCCGCAGAGAAGCCGTCTCACTGACTACAATTCAATGATTGATTCTCGCCCATCCCCATAACCTGCTTCTCTAACCCGTTCCTCCGATTGACAAGTGCATTTAGCAATCGATTTCTGTACATTGATTTAGAAGCCTATATTCATACCGGCAAGATTGATCATAGCATCATATCTATAAGATCCGCCATGTCGCTTCTCAATCCTGCAAATGCTGGCTACATCATCGCCGCCCTTTGCATGGTCTTCTCCGCCTATGTCAGTAGGAAGCTACCTCATCTGTTTGGGTGGGGCGGTTCTCTCGACTCAAAATATGCTAATGGTTTTGCGAACAGGTTCTTCTCAGAGGACTGACCTGCTCGATCAGTCATGTACCTGGCCCGTGGCATACTTGCTTCGTCAACTATAAGTCAACATACCCACTTCCTGGCACCCCCCTGTT